TTGGCTAATCCCTCCATAATGAATATGTTGCTATCTAATAATCACAGAAAATCATGTCAAGCCGAACTTTGGACATAGATACCTCTGAATAAGTAAACAGATGCTGTACATAGCCTACAAAGGGAAATAAAATAGCTATAATGTAATAGTTACCATTTATTGGGTCCTTACTCTACAACTGACACTGAACTAAACATTGATAACTTTATGTTATTCTTACAACAACCCTAAAAGGCAACAACTATTATTCCTGTTTTAAAGGTAAGTAAAATAAGATTCAGAGTGGTTAACAGGCTTATCCAAAGTTACAGAACTGTAAGGAATGGAGTGAGATAAAAGATAGGATTGGGGCTCAAGTTGAGGGTCCTGCTTCCAGAAACCTTTTCCACAGGGTTGTGCTATCAGCAATCCCTCTCACTACGTAAAGCCAGGGGTTTGGAGACAGTGGTGTAACTCCTGATTACCCTCATGCCCTGACCACCCTACCTCCTGCTTGTCTTTCTACAAACTCGCTGTGTTCTAAACCCTGACATCCCAGACTGACAACTAGGGCTTTGTGAATCTAGACATACCCACTACAAACACAAGCTACTGACCTGAGGACCTCTGAGTGTCCCCAGCCCTACAGAGGAAACAGGAGAGTGTCGAGATTATTCGAAGATTCCAGAAGGCCATCTTTACTTTTAGGTATCTGTATAAATTTTTTGTTTACTTCTTTCAAGAGCCCAGTTGTATATTCTTTTCACATAATTGCACCAGTAATTCAACGCCTAAGCAGAAAATGGTAATATGAAAAAACATTTGGATAAATTTCTAAGTACGGTAATCAGTAGAATAATTTAAAACAAGTCAGTCGGTGGCTATTTTTTATAAAGTATAAATTTCTGAGAATATGTTACTTTAAATATGTTATTCAAAAAAAATTAAGCGATTTCTATAATAAAAATGTGTGTTGATTCTACAATATAAATTTGTATTAATTCTTTGAACTTAAGAACATAGAATAATTTATAAAGTATGTATGTGTTTTTGCATTTGTTACAGGGATGGCTTATGGTGGAATCTGCTTATAATTTTTGAAATCTTTACTAATTATGGGCTATACCATGTTGCTGTCTCAAAATTCAAACAATGAATTAATTTTTTATCTGAAAACAAGTCTGATAGTTGTGCTTAAGACAATAGGTATGAATAAACATATAATATTTATCAATTAATTACTAATAACTACATGATTAAGATCTGCTAGATTCTGGGTATAGCCAGTTTTTCATTATTAACTTACATAAAGTACACAAATGAAGCAAGAAATTTTATTTTATTTACTCATTTTATTCACAGGCATGACTTGGCTTTTGATAAAACAATCTCTCTCCTCTTTAGACCAAACAACTCTTTCTCCTTCTTTAAACTAAAATTTTGAAGTTAGCCAATGATTGAAACGTCACCCAGCAAAAAATGATTGTTGAATATCACTTGTAATTTTGATAGTACACATATGGGTTTTGTGCTTATATATTCATTGGTTATCAGGACTTTCTCTTTACACTGTTTTGTAGGAACCCACTTAACTAGTTTTCATGTTGTTCCTAATTTTAACTAGGACATGCAGAATCACTTAGTGTGAGCTAAGCTGTGTTTAGTTAAAATGCTAAAAATTAGGCGCAAAACTGAAGATTTTTGTGTAGTGAATATTGGTGATGAATTTCATACACTCTATAGCCTTTTATGGAATTTGTGTTGTAGTCTTTCTTTATGCCTGCTTCACCCAGAAATATACGCATTATAAGTGTTGGCCTGTGCAAAGCAGAAAAATGATGACACAGGAAAATGGCTGCATACAAGGACCTTTCTTCAGTTTCATGTTTTTGTTATTTACACACAGCATGTGTACGAGCTGTTCTCTTCCACAAGTCCAAAGAGCACTCTTAGAGGGTGCAAGGTAGGGAACCTATCTCTTCACTGCCTTTCTTCACCTGTTTTTCCTTCAGTGTTCTGTGGCCCATGGTAGTCCTTGGTAGTCTATGTAGGACCGTGGTTGCACTGGTCTTTATCCCTGTATCTAATCAGGAGACTAAATGCCAGCTTTCATAGCAATTCACAGATTGTAGCACATAATAGGCCAAATTAGCCGGCCTTACATTTTTAAAAAGTTCAAATAACATCAGAAAATGATTTAAGGTGGAATTATTGTATCTTTGCTCCTTTCCTTCTCATTTCTGCTCATGTGCACTCTTACTAATTTTGTTTTTGAGGAAAAATGTTTATTTTACATATATATTTATTATTTTAAACTGTTATGTATAACTTGAAAAGAAAAATGATTCTTACATATCACTATGCCAAGGATGCTCCAAAAAGAGCTCTGGTTAAAATGTGTAAGGAAATACTTAAACACACTGAAAAAACATAAGGACATACACATCTTGAAATGGGAATATTGCAGCAATTTACTCATTTCACTCTAGCAAATATGGGAAAAATTCAACTTATTCTCAGGTAATAAAATCTGGTGTACCAAAGTGTTGAAAAAAATGAAATCGATAAAGAAGTCACAAATGTGTAAAGCAAACATGAGAAATAACTGCTCAAACAACTAAATTATATAGAAGAGAACATCAGAAACCAGGGGTTTATTACCTATACCTCACAGCAATTTGAAATGACTAGATTCAAAATACATTTATGTATTATGAATGTTATTATTCAGTTTCTAAAAGATTTTAAGAACAAACAAAGGGAATATTGACTTCCTTGTTATGCTCTGTAAAATACAAAATTCAAAACCAAAGGCAGTGAATCAACTTGACAAAATTAAGCAACAATGCGCTTTTCTCAAAAACTTAATTTTTCCTAAAGAATTATTTTAAATTATTTCATTAATGTTTCAAATTCTATCTGATCTGATTCCCCAGAAAATACCTATTTTCAAAAAAAAAAAAAATCCACCAATTTAAAGCTAAGATGAACAAATGATTAGCCTGGTATTTTTTTTTTTCTTTTTGGTTATTTTTTTTGAATTTTATTATTTGTTGATAAGTACTAACTGTATATATTTATGAGGTACAATGTGATTTTTGATATATGTTTACAATCAGGCTAATTAACAAATCTATCACCTCACATACTTGTCATTTTTGTGTGCATTGAAACATTTAAAATGTACTCTTTTAACAACTCTATTATTATTTATTATAGTCACAATGCTATGTGATAGATCTCTTAAGTTTATTCCTCCTAACTGAAACTTTGTAACCTCTGATCAACAACTACCTTTCCCCAACCACTCCCCTTCATCAGCTTCTGGTAACATCATTTTACTCTCTACTTCTACAATTTCAATGTTTTTAGATTCCTCCTACAAGTGAGATGATGCAGCATTTGTCTTTCTGTGCCTGGCTTATTTCACTTAGCATAGTGTCCTCCAGGTTTATCCATGTTGTTAAAAATTAGAGGATTTTCCTTTTTTTTTGAGACAGTCTCTCACTCCGTCACCCAGGCTGGAGTGCAGTGGCGCAATCTTGGCTCACTGCAAGCTCCAGCTCCCAGGTTCACGCCATTCTCCTGCCTCAGCCTCCCGAGTAGCTGGGACTACAGGCGCCCGCCACCACACCTGGCTAATTTTTGGTATTTTTAGTAGAGATGGGGTTTCACCATGTTAGCCAGGGTGGTCTCGATCTGACCTCGTGATCCACCTGCCTCTGCCTCCCAAAGTGCTAGGATTACAGGGATTTTCCCTTTTTTTTTAAGACTGAATAGTATTTCATTGTGCATATATACCACATTTTCCTGATCCATTCGTTCCTTGATGGACACAGAGTGCTTCCATATCTTACCCATTACAAATAATGCTTCAATAACATGAGAGTGCAGGTAACTTTGGAATAGGCATTGCAATTCCTTTGACCATATACCAGTAGTGGGATTGAAGGATCATATGATAGATATATTTTTAGTTTTCTGAGGAGTCTCCATACCATTTTCCGTAATGGCCGTATTAACATTTCCACCAATATTGCATAAGGGTTCCCTTGTCGGCACTCCCTCGCCAACATTTATCTTTTGTCTTTTTTGATGATAGCCATTCTAACAGGTGTGAGGTGATAACTCATTGTGGTATTTATTTGCATTTTTCTTGATGATTAGTGATGATGAACATTTTTTAATATATCTGGCAGTCACGTATGTCTTCTTTTGATAAGTGTCTATTGAGGTGCTTTACCTAATTTTTATTGGATTATTTGTTTTCTTGCTATTGCATTGAGTTCCTTATATGTTTTGGGTATTAGCCCCTTATATGGTTTGCAAATATTTTCTCCCAAACCATGAACTATCTCTTAGCTTGATTGTTTCCTTTGCTTTGCGGAAGCTGTTTAGTTGATGCAATCCGATCTGTTTATTTTTCTTTGTTGACTTTGGTTTTGTGATCATATCTAAGAAATCTTTGCTCAGATGAATGTAGTAAGTATATCCTCTTTGTTTTCTTTTAGTAGCTTTACAATTCAGGTCTTACATTTAAGTGTTTAATGTGTTTTGTGTTGATATTTGCATATGGTGTTAGACAAGAATCTGATTTCATTTTTCTGCTTGTGGATATCTAGTTTTCCAAAACCATTTATCAAACAAACTGTTCTTTTTTATTGTATGTTTTTGGCATCTTTGTTGAGAATCAATCGACCATACATGCACAGGTTTGTTTCTAGGTTCTCTATCCTATTCCATTGGTTAATGTGTCTATTTTTAGGTCAATATCAGTATCGTATATTTCATACACTGCAAGATGCACCTCCTATGTTATGTATCTATCACGATGGAGGAAGAATGTGCTTTGATGTCAGTAATGACCAAGACAGGGTGCCACCAAAAAGACAGTTACCAGTTTGCAGGCTCAACTGCAGTGTGTCCTCGAGAGTATCAAAAGATCCAAAATTTGTGTTACAGACAAAAGTAGAACATATTCTAAAACTTCAGGAAAAGTACCAAAACAAGAAAAAAATGAATTTTCCACGAGATAACTCTATTTTTATATGATTGAATGGGTACAGTATTCTTTTGTGTACATAGAGTAAGCTTCAGTTTCCTCTATTCTGTAAATAAATAGCACACTAATTGCAGATAACCAAAAAACAGAACCAAGTAATTCAAATTGGCACAAACAAGAAAGACAATATCAAACTATGGTAGATTAAACACTCCAGAGTGTTCTTCTTTCTCTGTCAAAATATACATATATATTATCTATAGTATCTGTAGATAATATAGACATAAATAAATATGAGTCCCATGATATTTGACTGTTTCTTTCCTTGTAAAGAATGTCAGATATCTATAATTTATGACACACCGCGATTGTTTCATTGGTTGCATTTTCTTTGAAATTGAAGTGAAACTTCTGAAGAGGAAAACTTGATAAATTCACGGTAAGTTTCTAGCTCCGGTTAAGCATTGCAATAATAATTCATGGATAAACAACAGCTGCAAAAAACATTAAGATATTATGAGTATATGAGTGTGGGAGTGTGTGTGTTTTAGTAATTGGGAATTGTTGGTCACATTAAAAGCCCATGTTATTACAAACAGGAATTTCACTACAAGGCACCGTAATGCAAAGGTATGAAGAAAATCTATCCAAGAAAAGAGAATCAGACTTGCCCACTTGTTAAATCAGAAATAAATTCTCTAAGAGAATTCCAAGGAAATTTCCTTGGAAAGATAATTCCCCAGGAAAAGGTTGTATTTCCTGGAAAAACCAAGAGAACTAAAAAAATTATTGTAAATGCAAGTAGAATCTTGTTACTTAGAACATAAGCCTGCCATCAAAACTCTATTTTTGTTTAAGTAACAGTTAAGAGTGCAATCAGCAACGGGGTGCCAGCAGCCAGAGTTGTCTGAGGGGATGGCCATGGGCTTCAGAGCAAGAGAGAACAAAAACACAATGTACAAAGAAAAGGTGTTATCAAGTATCAAGAGGATGGTCCAAACGAAGCATCAGACTAAAAAGGCAGGCACAAAGGCAGACTCCAGTCCCAAGACAGTAGGGTGCAAACTAAAGAAACTAGAGTACAACTATCAGGTTCAGAACATGCTTGCTGATCTGGTGGCTTTCATAGGCTGCTTTTAACATCAAGCCTGGGTGGGGAGGAAGTTATTAAGGCCACTCTGGTTCATCCAACATGATGAACACATCATCTGATCTTATTTTAGTTTTACATATGTGGAAAAACAGAATAAAATAAATAAAAGCTGTGCATGTGTGTGTGTATGTGTAGCATGTGCACAAATACACATATGCATGTTTGCAACCATAGCTAAAATCATAGCCCGAGGGCACCTAAGTGCAAACCCCTTCAGGCCAGAGTCTGCAGTGTGTGTTGTTGTTGTTTTTAATCTTTATATTTCTAGCCTTGAACACATTTTATATATTACAGTATATGTTTAACAAATGAATGAGGAAGAACTTTTGTCTCTTTCATTAAAATGTGTTTTGCAATTCTATTTATCAGGGATAAAGAGTTGTACTTAAACACCTGGATGTCAAAATGCTATAATTGATTGCAATATTATCAAAAGTCATCACCATCTTTTTAATCTTAAATCTACTTTTATAAATTAAAAAATTCTATACAAGTTATCCTGTGGAATGTGGGAGTGCTTAAGAGAGATAGAGAGAGCCATCTGGGGAGTCAGAAATACTCTACTTCTTGATCTGACAGGTCGTTACATGGGTATCTACATGAATACAATTCATCAAGTCAAACACCAGATCTGTGCATTTGACTGCATGTAACTCATACTTCCAACAATAACATTGTGTAAACCAAATAGAACGTATCTTTTGGCCAAACCTGGAAAAAAATCTGCTTTTATCAAAAGAATTCACTGCAGGAATAATCTGGCTTCACTGAAAGAGTATTGCAGAGGTAGATTCCCAAATAAGTATCTGGGGATGGAAAGCAGAAAAAGGCTTTTGGAACTAAAAGCTTAATTGAATTCTGCATAAGCATGAACATAATGAACACATCATATAATAGTCACTTTGCAAAAGAGCTATCAGTATGCTTTCTGGAATCTTCACTGATGTAACATGAGCTCACTCCATGCTCACACTCTCACCTTCTTGAGATTTACCCAGGTCTTCTGTTCACTCCATGGCAGGGAATAATTTCAGAGGTTATTTGGCTGTGGTTGAGCACAAAAGGACTGAGCCTGGCTGTTACAGAGACTGGCCCTCTGCACCTATCTGTTAGCTTCAGTACCTATTCCTTGTTTATTTTTTGTATTTTTCAGAGTGATCTAGAACCAAGGTTTTGAGGACTAGCTCCAAGTTTGTGTGAGAGGATACAGCACAGTCCCTAAGACTGAGCAGTCCTGGGGCCAAAACCCTGTTGAGCATCTTTCACTGCCACAGGTAGGAATGGGGAATGATTTGTTTAGCATTCAAATGATCACATAATACCAGCAGCACAGAAAGTTATCATTTCTTAGTTCACTTGCATAGCATTAAGAAAAAAATTAAATAAACAAATATGGATTATTTTTATAATGAATGCAATCTTCTTAGACTAATAGCCAGAGAAGAGCTATGATTGTTGTATGTCGAAAAATCCCAAATGGCAAAATGTAATTAAAGTTAGAACTGTTGAACAAATAAACCTGTTAAATACATAATATTACCAGGCAAAATAGCTATGTGTTTATCATTTTGCCACTGTAATTACATTCACTACAACTCTTCATGCATATATTAATATCTCACTGACATTATAGAGGCTAAAATATAAATTGCAGAGCACTGAGCCTAGTTCCATCCAAAAAGTTTGAAATGCATGGTAAAAATGCTTGTCATTAAAAAACAAAAACAAAAAGGCTTTGTATTTAATATTACTACTAATTGCTTTACTCAGAAGTAAAAGATTCTTATAACTACATGTGTACTGGTTTCAAATGAAGAATCACGACGTACCTCTATGTGGGCATCTGGTTTGAAAAATTATGATATTCTTTATCTTGGGTCTCTTGGAGCATAAGGCGCAGAACTTGTTCAATTTGACCTGAAAAAGGAAATACCCGGAAATGAACCTAAGTTGCTATTCCTACATTAATAGTAGACAAATATTTTTAAGTAATCTCAACTAATTTCCAAGATTATGAATAGACTGTAATTGGATAGATGTCAGTTAGAGTGGGTGTGTTAGTTATTAAGAGTCAGGAGAGGTCAGGAAATTAATTCCCATGGGATGAAACTCTGTATCCAAAAATAAGCAAGAAGAGGCTTTGAAATGATTTCCAAAAGTTTGACAAAATCAGTGCCAAAGATTGTCTGGGGGGAAAAAAAGATTACACATAATGAATAGTAAAATAAGAAAGAGGCAGAAAAAGAGGAAGGGAAGGAAAAGGAGAAAGAAAACCAAATAATTTGTGAGTACAGAACATACAATGAATCCTCATTGCTGAGTTAATAAAATACTGTCTTTAGCACCAATAAATTACAGAAACAGGGATTGGAAAGCTTTAATAGAAATCACAAGCCTTTAAAAATAACACTGGCAATAATTAAAAACCTTTCCCTTAAAAGCTTCCTATTGTTAATTGGTTTACTTTCATTTAGATATAAATTAATTTCCACAAATTAATTTTTACCATTAGAATAGCCTAAAAACATGGAAAGCCTAGAAATTGACAGAGCAGGGTCAATATATTGAGCAAAGTAATGTGATGGTGCATAATCTCTATCATGATTAATATCTAATCATAATCATCATCATTTTTGGAGGGCCATTTTTCATCATGATGGCTGCACTTTATTTTGAAATTATTTAAGAGAATTAAATATTTTGTAAAGTGAAAATTAATGTGTCTTTATTCATGACTGAGTGAACCATTACAAATGTTTTTCAAATTCCATTCTTTTAAAATAAATGCCATGAATGGTCATTTAAGTTAGTCACCATACCTATTTTTCCCATGACATAATGACTACAGCTGCCCTAATGAGTCCAATCAAATGGCTATTGTGCTTGTGGTTTGGGAGTGTGAAGTTCTGTTTCCTCACATTTGGATTTTAATCAAATCACTAATTCAAGCCAGGCCACTGAAACACCTACCAATTTTAAGAAATTCAAATTACTCTCCTTTTGTGATGGATTAAAACTTAAATCATCTTGAAGGATATCATCCAACCAGTTAATTTATATATTTGAGAATAGGGAGTACAAATGGATCATCTCAAAATGAAAAATATTGTATGACAATTGGTCCTTACAACTCAGAGGTATGCACACATGCGAGACACAGATTTCATCTCTCCTTAAACAAGTCATTGTTTGTTTAAGCCTTGGATAAAAACCAAGATTTTTAATATCACTGGTCAAGGCCCTGACCACCATTCTAGCCTCATTCCCGGCCCTGTCTCTCTAATACATTGTGCTGCTGCAATGCCAACTGATTTAGGTTCCCAAATACTTAATGCTACGTTATCCATGAGCATTTGTATGCACCATTCTCTTTTAATGGAGCAATTTCTTACTTCTTCAACTTGTTATCTCCTGCATCCTTTCCTTCAAACCTCATTTGAAATATCAACTCATCCAGGAAGACTTGTCTGATGCTAAAAGCTCATTTAGATGCCCTTGTCAGGGTATTCATAGGCTAATCACTGGTTTGGTAAGTCTCCATGATGGGATTATACGCTATTGAAGAATAAAGAGCTGTGTTATTAATCTTCAGTTCCCAGGACTTGCCATGTACCTGATGTATAGCTGGATGTCACTAATTCAAGCAAGTTGAATAAAGGGATAAGCCAGCAGAAGTAAAAAGAAGAGGAGGAAAGACAGACTAAATGAAAAGCAATGTCTGTTCTATAACTGTCATATACCACTCTATGTCAAAAACCACTTTATGCTTGTACTAGTTTGCGCTTTAAAATGTTTTTAAACACTCTTACATATATTGCCCACACAGTACACTGGACATCTCCTTGAGCTTGATATGAGGAACCTGCAGTTTAAAGAGATTTTAAAGATTTGCCTAAAGGCAAACAGGGAGTGAAATACAGGATTGGAACTAGGCCTTATCACACCTCATCACAGCTTCCTTCTGACACGTTGCAGTGTTACAGTGTGCTGTGTGCTTCAGAGCAGGCGTGCACTAGGAAGGGGAAGGGGTAGCAGGAAAGTGTGTCCCCAAAACATGTCTTCGGCCACAATACTTTCATCTAATAAATACAGAGAGAAAATATCTCTTCCTACTTTGAGTACATTTAACCTCAGAGCAAAACTAGATGACCTGGCTAAATGAGTTGGGGGACCGATTTTTGGGAAAACGGGCAGAGATGTACAAGCCTTGGTGGTGGTAACCAGGATTCCACGTAGCACCTTCAAATAGTGCAGTACTGAGTCAGAGCTATCCTGAACTTGGGGAATTCCCTGTGGAATGCACAAGGTGCAAAAACAGGCAATCAGAATAGGTTTAACTTTATCAGCAATGAATGAGTTCAGGCATGGAACAAAAATCCGGGCCAGATCACTTGGCTGCTGTCACAGAGAGACCATGTAAATGCAGGTCATTGCTGAAAAGAAGTGGTCTGAAGTCTTTCCAAGGTGCTGGCAGTTTCTGAAGAGCCGTATCCACAGAGGTACCGATAGAGAGGCCTGTGAGATCACCCGGTGGCAGAGTGCAACTATTTTCAATTATTTTTTGAGGATAAGGCCCAAACTCCCAGCTCCCTTTCCTGGAGTACCTGAGCTCGGCAGCCCAGTGGACATGTGCTTCTCTCTGCAAGGGATATGTGGAAATAGGAATTCTCTTCTCCTTTTGGAACAGTGGATTTCTTCCCTTATTTACTTGGGAAAAAAAAATACCTCTGCTTCCCACCCATTTTGGAGGAAAGTCTCCAGTAGGATATGGGGTCACCTAACCCAGAGGAAGCTATTCCAACCTGAACAGCCTTGTGCAATATGCACAAAGTCCTTCAATAGACATTGGATGTCAGCACAAGCCTTACTTGAAACCAAGTCCATGTTCACTCCCTAATGACCACAAGAAGGAAGGAACTGAGAGGGTTCCTTCACTTGCTAACTGCCTATGTGATATTGGCCACCTTGTTTCATTCCCCTATGCCCCGAAAATCTCAGCCTTCAACCCAGAATGATACCCTATAGCAATACAGTGCTGAGACTACAATGCTGTGAATAATTTTGAGGTATTTACTTACAGATCATTCAGAGAAGCAATGGAGGGAACAGGTGAATACAGGCAAATGTGAAAAACAACCAGAAGCTCTCAAGGGGCTAAAGATAAGTCCTGGGAAGTTTCTTCTTATCAGAAAAAAAAGGAAGTAGAATTTTTCTGCTTTTGCTGTGTATGAGTGCATAAACATTTTGTTACCTGACCATAAACCTACCTTGAAATGTGATCAGCGTCAATTCTACCCAAGGATAGTGTCTCAATGGGCTGTTATATCCAATATTAACATGAATTTAGTATCTTTAGGGACACAGATTGCCATTCATCAGAATATTAATTAGAAATGTTTGAACCATGTCATGCTTTACTCTTTTGGTTTTCTGATTGGAATTCATTCTAATAAATTCAAATTGTTTTATCCCTCCACATGGCCACAATACTGGAAAAAGTAAAAACAATCCCCCACTTACTTGCTGGTTACCAAGGGCCTAATGTTAAATATTGCAAGTGCAGACACAATGTTGTTAGCTATTTAAAGGCTATATGCTAGATACATCCTGCAAATAAGTGAATAAATAATATATTAATGCCCTGGGTCCCTTTTTCACCAGAATTATAAGCACAAAAGTGATACGGAGAACTGACAGTAACTTTAATATATGTAAATATCTCAATTGGATAATTCAGGCACAAAAATATATTGTAGCTTGGTGCTTATTAAGTTTATGTTTTATGCATTTCCATTGCAGGAGTTAATATGTTTCTTGGTTTCTATGTTCTCAGACCTCCTACAATACCCGGTCTTTAAAGTGTTATACAAAATATCAGGTATGCACTAATCTATAAAGTTAAAATGTTGCGTTTGTTTATACCAACCACCCCAAAGCAGAGTTCCTTCTCATAATGAGGTGTTTCCTAACAGTGTGATAGAATATTTTAAAATTGTCTTTGACAAGCACATTCTGAGGCTGATTTCTCACAAATGCATGCTGTCTATATCCACACACACTGTGGACCCCACCATGAGCTCTGGGTGGAATGCTCAAAATCTTCTCTCGTTCGATCTCAATGACCTGAGCTGTGGAAAATGTTCCTTAAGCTTGCTGAGGAGAGTTATTTTTGATTTCTTTGGCCGGCGTGCTCTATTTTCTCACTTAATGGAAAGGGATGAGAAATGAAACATCTTCGTTTAGCTCTACAATGGACAATTTTCCAGCTACTTTAATACGTTCTGTTTAGAAAGAGAGTCCTGGAAATCATTTCTTCCTGAATTTATAACTTGCTCTGTGTTTTCAGAGTTTTTTATTCAATGTAGCTTTAAAATTAAAATGTGTGAGCTCACTCCTTATTTTCCTAAGACAAATATAACAACTTCCATCTTGGTCATTGAATCCTTTGTGCAGGCAATCAACCAGAGGTCAGGTTTACGATCATGTGGCAAGCATTTGACTAATGAAAAACACGGACCCTTTCTAATCACTGAGGTTTGAAGAGTTTGTGCAATTGTCCCAAGACCTATCAGCTCTAATTTACCTGATTCTGTCTTTCTGCCTTTTCTTCTTTGGTTAAGGGATGATCTATTTTAGTTATTGCATCACATCTGGAAATTATAGAGGTAATAGTATTAGCGTGACTCCTCTCTAAAGGGTTCCAGGTTGAGATTATGTCACTGTATACATTTGGGAGAGAAGGTACTAGGTAGTGGTGTTTTTGAGTAAGAATCTTAGGTTCTAAAAGAATGGTTTAGAATTACATTTTGAAAGACATTTCTGTGAATAGTTCATTTATTAATTTTCACCTTACTTCTGGCACTGCCTCTGATGATCATTCAGTTTCCTCTCCTCTTCCTTTATACTCAGCCTCCCCTCCACACAGACCTGTCCCAGAAATCTTTAAGAAACTCAGATATTTAAATAGAGTCAGTGGGTAATATCTAGTAGAAGAGTTCTTTTATCCAGAAATGCTATTTCCATTTATTTTATTCAGGCTACTCCTGCAACTCTCTCTGTAGCAAACAATTACTTAGGCTGTGTGTGAACACGTCCAATAATAGCTGTTGCATGAAATGAAGAGTTGAATAAAGAAGAAGTGCTGAAACAAAGAAGATGGAAAGAATTGAATGGCGAATGTGCCAATGATGAAATGCATAAGCAATTCCACAGGTGAAGAATGGTGAAGCAGAAATGGTGGTTTTGTTTTTGTGACTGTGTTTCTAATTTAATTGAATCAAAGTAACATACGGGATATATTCCTTGCCTGAAGCTCACAATTTCAGTTTGTCAGAGAGATAGGATAGTTACACATAAAAAGATGAAAATAAGGTAGGTAGGGGATAGGAGAGAGGGAGGAGATTAAAAAAGGCTCTAATAAAAAGAATCCAAAGGTGAATGGGTCATTGGTGGCAATTGTTAACAGAAGCTTATCTGGAATATTTCACTTGCACCCTGCACCCATTCAGAGTGAATTTTGCAATTCCTATCGTTGAGGTGGATCAAACTGTTGTTTTTCCCTTTATCCTCATATGTTGCTTTCTGCTTTACTTGTAGCTTATTGAGTGTGTATTCTGTATTGATTCATTATGTTTATGTAGAAGGCTGGGAGGGCCCGTCAGGATTCCATTTAGGTTGCTCGTCATGGGCACATCAACACCTGGCAGGTCTGTTCTTCTATCCTCTTGTGTGATCCAGGCAGATCTTTGATGCAGGGAGGCAGGCTCCATGTCAATAACCAGGACCAAAGGTAAACCCAAGGGTGTCATTGTGGTGTGATTTGCAGGTAGCAGGGCAGGGGAAAGGAGAATGCCAATTAAGTACAATACAAGTGTGCTGTGTATACATATTCCTAGTGAGGTTCATAATTCTCAGGGCTTTTAGATTGTGAATAATTGACACCCCTGTAAAGGTGGATCACTATAATTGTCCCCATCACTGAGGAGGAAATTGTCTTGCACTCTGGAAAGGCTCATTTATGCTCTATGTAGCTTTGCTGCATACCCAGTACTTCCCAGGAGTGCTGTGAGGACCAATTACTAATTATCTGGAAGAGCTCTTATGCTCTGATGAGATCCTTTGGAATGCAGGCATCTGTGAAACTGTGATGATACCTTCTCCCTGTTTTCTATCACACTTGGCAAAGGGCTGGGCACTTTTGGTCATCTAATCAACGGTCTCTGAAAAACGAAAGAGAAGGATTCAGGAGAGAGGGCGCTCCACCCAACCATGTTTAGAAAAACAAGACCAAATTAGTTGAGAAGCTAACTTCATGTGACCCTTCCATTTAAATGATTTTTTAAAACCTGAGAATGTTAATGGAAAAAAAAAAGAGAGAGAGAGAAATTTGAGAGAGGCCTTGTGTCCACCAGGTATGCAAACAAGGATAATAAACATTCAGCAGAATATCCACATGAAAAACTGAAAACACTATATAGCAATATCCAACAAAAACAATATATATGATCAAAAGGAAGCACAATGGCATGGTAAACCAGAGCCTTGGTAGTATATGTCCAATGAACATTTGAGACAGATTAAGTGAGAAAATACCTGTCAAAAGGTGAGAAGAGTGTCTGTACATAGTAAATTATCAATAAGTCCATTGTTGCCACAGTTGTTGCTTAGGTCCCAGCATGAAGTAAGTGTTCAGTGAAAAATGAACGATTTCATTCATACCTGGGTGGACAATGATGGACGGAGGGAAGAGTGGTTACTAAGCTCTTCCTCTGATGGTCCCTTGACGACTTAATCCTGTGTATACAAATTCAACATGCATTCTATCACAAGGCCCCAAGTTGTGCAATAAGTTAACAAGGAGAATCCAATAACACCTACTGATTCTTGTGTCCATTTCTAAAGAGTATCAGATGGGATGGGCATGGGGTGGCTCACGCCTGTAATCCCAGTACTTTGGGAGGCCAAGGCAGGTGGATCACCTGAGATCAGGAGCTCGAGACCAGCCTGGCCAACATGGTGAAACCCTGTCTCTACTAAAAATACAAAAAATCAGCTGGGCGTGCTGGCGCACACCTATAGTACCAGGCTGAGGCATGAGAATCACTTGAACCTGGGAGGTCAAGACTGCAGTGAGCCGAGATCACACCACTGCACTCCAGCCTGGGCGACAGAGTGAGACTCTGTCTCCAAAAAAAAAAAAGGAGTACCAGATGTATCTGTTTTCTGTAACAGAGTTGGAGAGAGAACTGTGGTAATATGAAGTTTAGAGATGTGCTAGTATCCCATAACTAAAAACAAAAATAAAAGAGCAAACAACTCTCACCAATGCTGCAGTGTACTTCTCTTTTTGTAGGAACATCACCTTCATTCACTTCCCAACAGTCAGCTTTCTTTAAAACACCTTCTGTTCTTCAAGCTCCATTTGTTTTTCCACTGCTACGATTTGGTTTCTACCTCTTTTCTCACAACTGTGCTCACCAAGGCCTCAAGGCTGCCTTCATTAATTGATCCCACAGCCACTTTTTAGCCTTTTCAGCCTTGACTTCCTTGCTGTAGTTGACACATTGTTGGCCCTTTTCAAAAAGTGGAGTTTCCCTCTCACTAGTTGCCTTATATATCATTACTCATTTCTGGTTTTTATTCTGCATTTCCGACTGCTCCTTCCCAGGTTCCTTCCAAGATCTCTTGCTTTCTACTGACATCATTAGTGTCCCTGGCTCTGTGTGTCCCCTGCTCCCTTAATCCACCCTGCAGAGAAGCCCCTAGACCTTCTAACTGCATGTCTTTCCTCCCTCACACATGGTCCAAATCTCTCTTAGCTCCATGACTTTCCCTGAGGGCCTCCCCTCTGTACTTTCAAATGTATCATAATTTCTGCCCACATTCCCATTGGTCTAATTCCTGGTGATCCTTCAGTTTCCAGCTTAGATGTCATTACTTCAAGACATTCCTGATCTTTAAACAACCAAGTCCCTTCACATGAGTTTCCTCCCTTATAACACTGTCATTTGCTTTTAATTACTTGTAAATGTCTGCATTCCCTGACGGGGTAAATTGTGGCATCCTCACTTATGACTTTGTACAATTTGTACCACAAAAAGTTTCAGGGCAGAGAGAGTAAAGAGGCATAGAAATCTCAATCAGGTGCAGTGGTTCATGCCTGTAATCACAGCACATTGGGAGGCCGAGGAGGGTGGACCACAAGGTCAGGAGTTCGAGGCCAGCCTGGCCAACATGGTGAAAACTCACCTCTACTAAAAATACAAAAATTAGGCAGGCGTGGTGGTGGACACCTGTAATCTCAGCTACTTGGGAGGCTGAGGCTGGAGAACCGATTGAACCGGGAGGCGGAGGTTGCAGTGAGCCGAGATCACGCTACTGCAGACTGGACAACGGAGAGAGACTCCATCTCCAGAAAAACAAACAAACAAACAAAAGAGGCATAGAAATCTCATGTGTGCTCTGTGATCCCTGGTTTGGGACAACTCTGCCCAGTGACTTCACTGTTATTTAATTTGCACAGAAAGAACATCAAGGCCAGCAGAACTGCTATTCCCTAATAACTTGAAAGTTTAGTGAAGGAGAAACTGTGTCTGTGTTATACATCAATGAATTCTCGCTCCTAGCACAGTGCCCGGAATTTTTCAACTGACCATTGCTAAATGTATAAATCCCCCCCATTACCATGTTCTGGAACTGCACTGTCCCATTTGGTAGTCCCCAAGCCACATATGGCGACCAAGCACCTGACATACGGCTTGAGATGTGCTGAGTATAAAATACACACCAAGTTTAAGACCTGGCAAGAAAACATCTTAGTAATTTCGTATTGATTACAAGATGAAATAACATTTTAGCTATATTGTGTTAAGTAAAACATGTAATTAAGATTAATATCACCTGTTTACATTTGTGGACTAAATAATTTGCATTTGAGGGTCACAGTAGGTGTCTATTGGATAGCACTATTCTAGACTTTCTTCTGAGACATTGCTCTATATCCAAACATTCACTGAATACCTCCAGGTGATGTCCCACAGACACTAAACGCAATGAAACTGAATTTATAATATTTCTCAATAACTTGCACTTCTTCTTCAGATGTTGCCTCAGATGTTAATGGTTGCAATTCATCTGGTTACCTAAGGCAAAATATTGGACTATTCCTCCACTCTTGTTTTGTTATGAAAAGACTCTTCCAATTTTCCCTGCCACAATGCCATTAATATGGCCACTGGACTCGCCAGCATAAATCCCCATCGGCACATCTAGGAGACCTTTTTTGACAAGGCATAAGACAGCCTCTGGCTGTCATCAGATTACAATATACCTCTTCAGGGTCTCCTCACTCTATTGTCTCACTCACCCCCTCTACTTGATACTCAGAAAAAAAGCTCATATTGACTTCGTATGTTTCAAAAGTATATCCTTACAATACCTTATCATTCTCATATTGCAAATGAAGAAACTAAAGCAGAGAGGTCAAATAATTAGCCCAGCATTTACACCTAAGTGATGGAGCTGGTATTTGAACCTAGACCATCTGACTTTGGTATCTGGGCTCTTAACCAATGCTCTTTATTTCACATCCACAGTAATTTCTATTCTCTGACCATATCAAGATTTCTCACACCTTTGTAGCTTTACAAATGTTGTGTTTTTTCTTTGCATGAGAACTTCCTCTGTCTCCTCATTACTTTATCCACCAGATCAATTCTTTGAAATCTTTTAAGATGTATCTCCAAAGAAGCCTGTGTGTCAATTTATCAGACCTTACTAGAAATATTTAGCAGTTTTTCTGTGTGCTTGCCTAGTATTTAAAACAATATAAATATTACATGTCTTCCTCATTAGAAAATGTATTTTCCATCTTAAATTTTTACCATCAAGCGCAGTGCTTGACAAATAGCTGGTTCCCAATGAACGTCTAGTGGATTTTTGCCTGCGGGGGTAGAGAGAACAGGGTCATATGAACGGGACAACTTTTGGTCAGGAGGTCTTCAGATTGCTGATTGAGCTGAGATTGTCTGGACTCTTAGATTTCCCATTCTAATTTGAGAAACATTGAACTATACAAGAATGAAGTTCATTCTAGTTATTCTAGGTTATCATTCATGGAGCTATTGTTGACAAAAAAGTCATGAGATTTCAGGGCAGTGTTAGAGCTGAGACCATTTAATAGGTAAAGCCCTAGTTGCACAAAGAAGCAAATTGAGATTAGAAAGATTAATAACTTATCCACAATGACACTGCAAGTTAGTATCAGAGCTTTGCTTAAACCTGCATTTTCTGACTTCTAATCTATCCATAGTTTCTGGCTCTTTCCTATGAACATACAAATGCTAAAATGATTTTATGTGTTTATACACATATACACATATATCTTCACTGCTAATGAACTGTTTCAATAAATGCACGTGTTTGCCTCACGTAAAGCCTGGATGTATTTGTGGGAATTATTAGAACTAATATAAATTCAGTGATTTATACATGAGATCATCTTATTTACTTCTGAACTGTACAAAGAAATTCACAACTTCACTTTTCCCCCAGGAGAGGAAAAAAAACTATCCAGTCAACAGTTTTCCAACAAAAAAGGCAGTGCAAAGGAATCAAGTTTATTGAGTTCTGCTGACTTACTTTTCCCAGTTTTCAATGCTTCCATAACTACCATTATGATAGCATAAAAGCGCTAACATTTTTGTAATAATTGTCCTTTACCACGATTTCTGAAAAATGCTTTACATGCTTTATCACATTCAATCTATAAAACAACCTTATGAGATTGATCACAATTACAATTTCCTATTTTATAGTTGGAGATACTAGAGCCCAATTTAATAAATGCCACAGGGTGATAGAACTTTTAAGTGGCAGAAGCTGCACTTATATTTTAAGTGAATCTGACAACAAAGCTTATGCTTGTAACCACTAATCCAGTCCATGTGTTTTTAACTGTATATTTAATTTTTATCCAAAATGATGGACTCATAGAATTAAAGACCTAGAAATGATATTGGATACTGCCTGATCCCAATAAGTCACTTAATAGAAACACAAAGTGAGGTTCTGGAACATAGGTGAATCAACCTCTCCTGGACTTAGTATGCTTACAATTTTTCCATATTTTTCTATATCACACAATAAAGTGCTTTGCATAGTGTACATACTTAATAAATATGGAAGACTGACTCTCATGGATTCTTCCATAACTATATACAGCCACATAAACACATGCATATGCATATATGTGTATCAATGTCTAGCCTATGTGTTTCCAATAATACAGAAAGTTAGAATAACAGCCAGCTTGTCAAAACATAGCAAAAAGGACCACATTTTGGAAAGAATTACAGTATCATTACTGTTGACATGGGTAGAATAGATGAGTGTCCCCTAACTACTGCCTGTCAGGGCCTACTCCTATCTCAGCACTGAGTTTAAATACTACTCAGCCAGCTGCCTGTGGATTTAGCCAACATTGCATGTCAATGCAGAAGTCTGATTGCCCAGATGGTTATTTCTAGGCCCATGACCAAAAATAGTAACTGAGCATGGCTGTAAGGCATATCACCCTACACATAGGCTAGTGGTTTCTTGCTTTCTTCATATATCCCTTTCTGTGCAGAATGGGCATGTAGATGTTAGCTATTTTAATAACTCTCACTAGGAACAAAAAGAGAGAAACAGAAGGATCTGGGCAGCAATCTTCTAAATCTGTGAAAATCTCTGTATTACTTTGCCCCTCATATCTTCAACTGCATTCTTTCTTTCCTCACTGTTATTATTGGATATAGAGTATCCACTCTGTGAACTTCCTTGAGCAAGTTTTTTCCTTCCTTTATGTATCCCTTCTATCATCACCAGCACAGTAACTTTGCACTTGAAAAGCAAAATAAAGAACTGTAACAGACACAAAACAAACAGACCAAACAAACAAACTTCAAATGCTCTGAGGGAAAAAAATGGAAGAAGTTCCAATTTTAAAGTCTGACTAGCCCTTTGCCTGCCCTAAGGTAAGAAAATGCTGGCATAATGCGGAAAATCAGATCTCTGAGGCAGTACTTTTAAACAATTCAACTTGTGACAAGAAATAGAACAACCCTCAAAATTTCATCAGAGCAACTTTGATTAACAATTCTGAATCCCTAAATGGTTAATTAGGAACTCTCTCTGAGGCAAAAACTGGGGAGGCTGTAAAGATCTGGAATACCATCTTTGCCCTGACATGCCCTGGGTTTATGGGGAGCCACTCCTGGTTACATATTTGGAAAGAGATCATTTCATTGCCTTGGAGGGGAGCCTTTCTTCTTATAAATTACATTAATTCAGACCTTCGTTGGTCCTTCCTGGTTCTGTTTCAATAAACAAACATAGGAATGAATTGTTCTGAGCTTGCTTTGTTTATTCTAGTTCTTTCCTCCACCAGCTCCCTTTTCTGATTTTTCTAGTACCCTAGGCAGAGGATTTTTACAGGGTAAAATTGTTCCTTTCAATGTTAGCATTTTTTCTTACATTGGAATAACTTGGTTCAGCTACTCTGACCTTGAAGTCCAATCTCCCTTTCCCCCACTGTAAGAAATCATCAGGAGCTGTAAGGTGAACAGCACCAAGTTTCCATTTCTTTGCAATCCATATTGACATGGTGAAGGTTATGCTGGTTCCAAAGGAAAAGGGACAGCCCATCATCCTAAAAGAATGATAGATAAGGATTAGGGTTAATACTGGAAAACATTTAGAAACTGAAAGAAAGACTGCATTCATGACAGAAATAAAAGGGGCCATTCTTTGGCAAAACATAAAACAGCATCTGTTGAAACAACTCAAGTTCTGAGCTGCTTTGCATGGCATCCTTTGTTGCCCAAGGATGGCAGCTTCTCTCAGGCCTTTGAGGACATGAAATGATGACAGATACGGGTCCTGTGCCAGGAAGCAAGAAAAAATCACATTTTGATGTGCAACTACTTGATTCTTAGCCATTTAAAAATACAGAGAGGAGGCTGTCAATTGCATGTAATGAACTGCCTTGGTAACACTAGGTGATTAATTTCCAGCTTTACCCTGCTCTATCATGTACTGTGGAGAGCATATTACCAGAGCTTTTTGGCTACGAGGGAAAGATCAACCCTATGTGTGTAATCTACTCCAGGTGTACCAAAGTGGGCTCTTTGCCTTTTTTCTTTGGCTCAGTACCCTACCCCAATGACATTCTGGTGTGATGCATTGGCTTTTTCTGTGTGCAATGTTTGTAATCACAAAGTCCAGAAAATTCCCATTCGATTCACGTATTTATAGCAATAACTCATTTTTGTCAGTATTTTTAACATTATACTTTTTAGCTATAAAATGGGGAAAACAAAAACACAATTTTGGTCACGCTTTAAACCACAGAACTAAATAGCTGAGGTCACCTACCACTTTAGATTATTAACAAAGCTTTTAATACACACAACTGATTGTAGGTATTATTAGAAACAGAGAGGATGAATGTTTTAAACTACCAAGGTCATTCTCATTAGTATGGTGTAAAAAATAGAAAACATCAAATACATACACTCTTTGCTATTTCATATTTATTCCTAAAACATTTCAGATATATCTGATTAAAGGACTGGTAACTTTTCTTTCTCCACATATGAGGTAGCTAATAGATACCAGCCTTGTTGGGGGAAAAATGGACTTTGTTTTACTGCAAGTAGATTTTATGACTTTTTCTTTTGATGTCTAAACCATGAAACATGCCAGGGGCACTTTGTTGTCTGTTTATAGTACCTATGTACACTCTTAATGAGTTGCCAATTTTTACTTCCTTTAAGAGACCCTAATGGTAAAACATTTATCTACATATTGAAAAATTCATTTAAGCATGTTCTGTGTTTCCAATGAGGCACCATCTAATGGTCCTTTTAATTAAATGTTGATTCCAAGGATTTCTCTGTTGTTTAAAGTTATCGTTCAGCTTGTTCATCATGGATTGCAGACTGGGAGACATGAAATTTAATTCAAACCATGATTTTTAAGGGAGGATTTGACTTAAATTATTTTAAAGATAACTTAAAAGGGGTGTACGTACTTAACCCTGAGAACTTAGTGATGACAATCTTAATATTAATTCTGTTTTGGCCTCTCCGTTATAATTCCAGACGTGGAAAGACTTACTAAGTAAGCAAATCTTTGCCAACAAGTTGCTTCATGAAAGAAGGTTATTTTTGTTAATTGACCAGAGGCAGCAATTAGGTAACAAGCTGCAGCAGCTGATGCACACCTATAGGTTGGTAGGTGTCACGGGATCTCAGTTCTATGACACTATGGGGTGGTGTCACCCAATTTGAGGCTCAGCTATTCTTAAGAGGAGTCAAATAATTTCCACTAAAGTGGAAATTACTGGTAGTGGGAGAGGACAATGTTGAGACAATGTTAAGCTGGAGTGAAATTTGTAAAAGAAAGCCACAGAATCGATTCAAACCCAAATCTAGTGTCCGGAGTATGTAGGAAGACGTGGGTATTTGCAGTATAAACTCCATTCTCAAATGGCTTCTTCCCTTAATATACTTGGAAGTCCCTATAGCTGCATCTGGGGTTAAAGAAGCAATATTGCCTACCTGAGTGAAGCATGTCCTTTCTCTTCTTTGGTGAGCTTTCTCCATTTCTGAAGGGAAAAACAAACAAAAAGTATTACCTACTTTCTTTCCCTTACTGCTAAGAAAGAATCTGGTCTTTGATTAGGGAAATCCGTTTCCCTACTCAAGAAGAAACAATAAAAGTCCTTTGTTGCAGTATCCAGTGGACCCTAAGCTGACTTTGTATCAGGGCCCATTTTTACTAATTAATCACCTGCACTGCAGTTCCTTAAAAGTGAAAGTTCTACTGAGTTGGTTAAGGATGTCTTTCCTGTCTCCTGCCAGAAGCTTTACATAAATGTTCAACACAATTTTTCTTGTTACACTCTCCAAGGGTTATAATAGATGGTCACTTTAGGCATGGTTTTCCAGAAACTCCCCTTTCTGCATGAGCTAAAATATTAAATGTACAAAAACGATTATGTTGGAAACGCTGTACTTCAATGCTTAGATTTACTTACATTAAAACTAAAAGATCACTGGGTTGGAAAGTGAAGAAAACCATCTTGGTCCTGGATGAGACTGTGTCAGAACCTGGAACAATCTTCTCAGGGGCTCATCAACAGAATAAAAACATGTAAAACATCTATCTTTTTTGTTTCTTTAGCCTATGAGATGGCTACTGAAAAGTTCCCCCCAATATGTTCCACTTTATATAAGAAATTGTTCTCAATATAAGAAAGATTTACTGAAATATTAATAAAATTTTAGAGAAAAGGAAAAATAAAGAGATAATTATGTAAACAATAGAGCCAGTAAGAGGCAGGGAAGCATCTCTAAAATCCTAGCAAGACCCTTAGGCTAAATTAAATAGTACTAATATTTATTGAGCATTTTGTGCCATGTACTTTACATATTTAATCTCAATTAGCATTCTTAATAATCCTATGAGGTAGATATTATTATTCTCAATTTTAGAGATAAGGGTCTGGGACTCAAAGAGTATAGGAAACTAACCTCAGCAGTTGTTAAATGGTAGAAGGTGACACTGAATCCAAGTCTTCCTAATTCCAGAATCCACATTCTCCTCCCTCCACCACTTGGCAGAATTAAGTGAGCAAATGCTCTGTGCAACTATTCCACAAAATTGTTTTTCTCTGACTTGGGATTATTTAAGAGTCAGGTCCCATCCAATATCAATGTTTGGAAAGTCATGGGCAAAGCCAATCTCAGATGCAGTACTTACAAATACTCAAGTTCAGGAGACTGGTGTGTTGCAGGGTTAAAACCGGGATCCTGGTTTACCTTCATCTCCAACTCTCTTCTCCCTCAGGATGAAGGCTCAGATCAGTTTCATCTATATGATATGCCTGCCTGACCTGGAGAACTTGGCGTTAAAGGAAATGTGTTTATCAAATGTGTCATCTTATCCTTGGAAGGCAACTAAGGATCAGAGCACAGCTGCCTTGATTTGTTTCATCGAGTTATTCCGTTGCAGTTACGTGGAACATCAAAAAATGTCAAGAAGCCTAAAACGTGGAAACTTGTTTAATTCTCTCCAGCAATGGTACTAACCAAAGCAAACGAAACTTTGACAGAAGAAAGAAGCAATTGTTTAGCCTTGTCATGTCCTCACAGTTAATAACACAAAGGGTATATTCACAGTGCAAAGATACTTTCCCTTTCTCTCAAAATAGGAGACAACATATTGTAAGATATTTTACAGACGTCCTTCCTCATAGAACTCTGTAAACTCTACTGGCTCAAGAACAAAATCAAAGTTTCAATTCACAGAACCGATTCATCTTGCATTTTAGGTACTCTAATGATATATTTGTACTGTGTGTTGCAACCTATAGAAGAAATGTACTTCTTCATTTTTCCTGTTTGCTGATGACAGATACCAGTGGCTTACCTTTTGGTCTGTGAAACAATGATTTCTTTTCAAATTTGAAGTCTGAATAAATATGCACCACAATAGCTGCCTTTGACCCAGAATTTTTCTCTAATCATTATCTTCCAAAGAATTTTTCTGCAGTTTGTTATCCTCTAAGTTCTGAATCACATCTGAAACCTGTTACAACTTAAACTTCTGGCTCCCACTCTTAAGGACTTGCTGTTTCATCAAATCTTCTCCATTTTTCCATCAGTGAAACCTAAAATAAATTCAAAATCATAAGAATGTAAGAGAAAACCTAATGTTCTGTATCATGGCATAATGTTACTTGGAGAAACCAAAATATCTGAAGGTGAGTTCTTCAAATCTTAGGTGACAACAGTTAACTTACTATAAGCAATAGAAAAATTTAAATGTTAGAACAAGTGCTACAAAAGAATGTACATTTTGGGACAGAAACTTCCATATTGGTAAATCTGCCACCCTTCTGAATAATAAATGATTTGATTTTACCTCCTCAAGAATCACTCCACTGTGCTCCTCTTTGGAGACTTCTGGGGCATTGTTACAGTTTTGGTTAGAGTGGAAAGCAATGATATATAAATGTATTCTTTGATTAATAAAAGTATTTTATAATTTTATATGTATGCCCAACTCAGATGTTACATTACAAAACATCATTACTGGCTGAGTGCAGTGGCTCACGCCTGTAATCCCAGCACTTTGGGAGGCCAAGGTGGGTGGATCACCTGAGGTCGAGAGTTTGAGACCAGCCTCACCAACATGGAGAAACCCCGTCTCTACTAAAAACACAAAATTAGCCGGGCATGGTGGCACATGCCTGTAATGCCAGCTACTCCAGAGGCTGAGGCAGGAGAATCGTTTGAACCCAGGAGGCGAAGGTTGCAGTGAGCCGAGATCGCACCATTGCACTCCAGCCTGCGCAACAAGAGTGAAACTCTGCCTCAATTAAAAAAAAAAAAAAAAAAATCATTAGTTCATAATAAAGTTTCAAAATAAGCAAAAGTATGTATTTGCTTCACTTTGACAGTTCTCATTAGTTTAGGGACTCCTTTTTATATCAGCTTTCAGATATGATTCCTTGTCAGGTTAGAATGTTTGTGTAAAAATCTAACTCCAAAACTCAAGTAGAAACACTATTTTTACAAACTATACTCCGCATCGGGATCTATGTATTGTATCCCAATGCATGGTAGAGTTCCTTATTACTTTTGACTATGTTTATACATATGAAATCAACCGCATCATTGCCTCTTTCTTCATTCTGACCATCCTAACCATTGGTGTGGTCTGCTGTGTGATTGATTTGGTTTCCATAATTGATTGCTATTCATTGGCCAGAATGAATGACTCAAGCTCACATTGTGTTCCAACTCATCAACAGAGAATAGTTAACGTCTACTTTGGAGCACAATTTGACTTAATTAATAAATATTGCATTTTAGCAATTGTCTGGTAAGGGATTTATTTCTACAAGCTCAAACCTACTGCTAATTTCAGAGAAAAACTTCAGACTACAGAAGCTTCAGATCCATGTCTAAACACAGGAAATAGGCCAGGCATGGTGCCTCATGCCTATAATTCCAGCATTTTAGGAGGCCGATGCAGGTGGACCATTTGAGCTTGGGAGTTTGAGACCACCCTGGGCAACATAGTGAAACCTCATCTCTACCAAAAATAGAAAAAATTATCCAGGTGTGGTGGCATGTATCTGCAGTCCCAGCTACTCAGGAGCCTGAGTTGGGAGGATCAGTTGAGCCCGGGAGGTCCAGGCTGCAGTGAGCCGAGATCACGACACTGCACTCCAGCCTGGGTGAGAGAATGAGACCGTGTCTCAAAAGCAAAAGCAAAAGTAATAACAAACAAACAAACAACAAAAACAACAACAACAAAAAAAAAAAAAACAGGAAAAAATGCACCTGATCAAAAAAAAGAAGAAAAAAAGAAAAAATCTAATTAAAATGCATTTATTGACCCTACTTTGTTATAGTTTGCTCTATGTTAATGTATACGTATACACATTTTAAGTCATTCTTCAATATTCACCATCTTTAGGAACATACTTTTGAAAATGGGTAACAAACTCTCTTAAAACTGCTAATGGAAGATGCCAAAGAAGAAGAGGACTCCTCGCCTCCAAATGTGGGAGAAGGCCTTAAAGTCCCCTTCTGTAACTGAGAAGCAGAATACTCCCATTGTGTTAGGTTGCTTGGCAGCTGCAGCTGCCACTCAGACTTCTTATCCACACCAAGCACTTCCAAATACAGGAAAGAAGTTAGACTTTGTTTCTCTACCCTATTTGGGTAATAATTAAATGTTTCAACTAGAAACCTCTTCACTCTGGCATCTGAAGCATCATTTTAGTGTCAGCTTCTCTCGAAAGGGGCACACATGCACACACACACGCACACACATGCATGTACTCATACTTGCTATTTTTTTTGTCAAAATATTTACTACGTTATGGGAAAAAAACTTTTTCTCTTTTCTTGAAATAAAATTAATTTCTTTTGTTTGTTGTGTTTTCCTTCAAAATGTCAATTTGAACATTTTTCACTACTCTTCTGAAACATTTATTCTCTTTAAATCACAATTTGTACTAAAAAGGCTCTTCGCTTGACAGATGTGGACACTAAAAAGGAAACTAATTACTTCAAAAGCTATGTGTAAATAGAAGGCAATTTGTAAGCATCCCATGTGAAATTAAAAGCCGCCATGCCTATCAGACCTTGGGAAAACTAAAGGACCTTCATATCCCATAATAGAACTTAGAAACAGTAAGTGCCTCTTACTACTTGTGAGCATGCATTTCAGCCACAATAAAGTAAACTAGTCAAATGAGTATTGATAATTAACACATTTAAAAGCATTGCAAAAAATATAAATATCTACTATTTCAATGGCTATTCCAACCTAGGCACTATTTTCAAAACTGTGCAAGAGTAGTGTTGTCATTACGAATTTGATCAATATACCCACCTCTGCAGATTATTTAAAAAACAAAAACAAACCGAGTCTAGGTAGATAGGTTAATAGAAAAGTATTAACCAGTTAATTTCCATTACAAGACAATACATAAGAAACATTGTGTGTTTTTATTAAGCCAAACATAGATGCCTAGATATAGTTACATATACATCTAACACTTTCTTTCTATCTGCTGGTCTCAATTTATCTGATGCTCAAATCACCTTGTGTGTACTGCATATACCATATTGTAGCTTCTCAAGTGTTGGAGTACTTGAAACTGTCATGTGCTTTCATTTAAATTTTTAAAAATTCATGGACATAACATACATAAAATAAACCACTGCTAGGAAGGAGTCACCTAGTATTTGAAAATCATAATCAACCAGGTGCGGTGGCTCACATCTGTAATCTCAGCACTTTGGGAGGCCAAGGTGGGCAGGTCGCCTGAAGTAAGGAGTTCAATACCAGTTTGGTCAACATGGTGATACCCCGTCTCTACCAAAAATGCAAAAATTAGCCAGGTGTGGTGGTGTGTGCCTATAATCCCAGCTACTGAGGAGGCTGAGGCAGGAGAATCTCTTGAACCCGGAAGGCAGAGGTTGGCAGTGAGCCAAGATCGTGCCACTGCACTCCAGCCTGGGCAACAAGAGCAAAACTTTGTCTCAAAAAAAAGAGAAAATCATAATCAATAACATTGAATTGCTGAAGCTCAAATTCAGATAGTAGTAGATGAAAACAGGCTAAAACATATAACATAACAAAAGATGAATTTGGCAGTGGATTTATCCTGTGGCAGTGGTTCTCAAAGCATGGCCAGAGAACCACAGAGTTTCCTAAGACTCTTTAAAGGTTCGAGAAGATCCAAACTATTTTTATAATAAACCAAGATGCTAATTTCTCTGTTTCACTCTCATTCTCTCACAAGTGTACAACAGAGTTTTTCAGAGGGGTTTTAACGTGTAACATTAAAACAGAATGTTTAGAGAAGCAAATCTAAGAATCTAGCTTTCTATTAAGCCACACAATAAAGAAATTTGTAAAAATTTAAAACAATGCTGTATTAGTACATTTTGTGTTGCTTACAGCAGAATACCTAAAAATTTATTTTAAAGGAAGTTTATTTAGCTCATGGTTCCACAGGCTGAGGAGTTCGAGGGCATGGCCCTGGCTTCTGGACAGGACTTTCATGGCACATCACAACATGGTGGAGAAGGGCAATGGGAAAGTAGACATGTATGAAGTGGAGAAAACCTAAGGGCATCCCGGCTTTATAAAAACCCACTATCACAGGAACTAATTCATTCCCATGAGAACTAATTCAATCTTTCAAGATCGAGAACTCAGCCAGGTGTGGTGGTGTATGCCTGTAATCTGAGCTACTCAAGAGGATGAACCGGAAGGATCCTTTGAGCCCAGGAGTTCAGGGTTGCAGTGAGCTATGATTGTACCCCTATGCTCCAGGTCGGGTGAGAGAGTGAGACCCTGTGTTTCAAAAAAAAAAGACTGAGAACGCACTACCACCAGAAGAGCACAGAGCCATTCATGGGGAATCCACCTCCATAACCCAAATACCTCCCACTAGGCCCCACTTCCCAACACTGGCACATTGAGGATCAAATTTCAACATGAGTTTTGGTGGGGACAAACAAATTATATCCAAACCATAGCAAATGTCACTCATTTTTTTGTTGTTTTGAAAAAGATAGTTATTTCCTATTAAAATATACCATTCGTGTCAAGATGCAATGGGATTATTACTGTCACTTTAAAGCGAATTAGTAATTAAATAGTTTTAAATTTTTCTATTTTAATTTCTAATATAAATATTGAGAGATACGACCCACATTAACAAAAGCTTTCTTTTTTGGGGGGAGGGGGTGATTCTCAAAAATTTCCTAGCATGTAAAGAAATCCTGAGACCAAAATATTTGAGAGTGCTATTTTATAGCATTGGAATCTCAATTCATTTCTAAAGCCTCAGTTACTAATGCTGCCAGAATCAAAATGAGAGTGGCACTTCTTATAAAATTCTCCCAAATTATAATTTGGAAAGATTAGATCTATATTTCTTGTATTGATGGTTAATCAACAAAATACAGCTAACAGAGTAATTTTAAATATAGGATTTAATATGGTTAATTCCGCCTGGTCCATTCCTGGACCACCGCTCTTCCTGAGGACCTAGCTTTGCCATTCAACACCAGTCTGCTGGGAGGCATATTGCTTGGTGTATATTACATGCCCAAAAAGTGTTTGCTGACCATTTGTTTTAAACCTACTTCCTCATTAAAGTCTATTTGACTATTATCAAGTTTATTCCTTGTTTTGACTTCATAATTATCATGATGGTCAGCAAATCAAGGTTAACAGGCATTGGTGTAGTGGTCAACCCAGTACCCCCCAGAACTATCCTGGTTAAGCTGAAATCCTTACTCTAACACTTGCTCTTGTGTGAATGTGAACAAGTGCTTAAACTTCTCGGCACCTAAATTACCTCATCTGAAAATTATGAATACAAATAATACCTTCTAACGACTTTGTTATGCAGATTAAATAAACTAACACTTGTAAAAAACCAAAAACTGAGCTTAATAAATAATAAATGCTATATAAGGATCACTAAATAAAATATCACCTAACTTCAACTGCTGTTCAGAGCAAGTGCATGGATAACTGTGATTTGGTTATCAGAGAAGCTTCCCAGAGTTTTGATATTTAAATAGATGCAGATGCCTGAACTCAAAAATTCCCATGACTAAAAGTTAAGAGTAGCAGGTTAAACATGAGCAGCAACCACAAACACACTGAAATACTGAGAGGAGAAAGGCCATAAAACCTCAAAATGTAGACACAAAATCTTATTAGATGCACCACAGAGAAACCCAAACATATTCAACTAACAAAAATGAAATTAAATAACCAATTTCAGCAAAAAAAATAGAAAGTTGGGCCAAGTCTTCTACCTAATTTGAGTTTGTTTTTAATTGATACGAATGCCAGCATAGTTTTTAAATTATCACCTTAATAGTGTCTTTACAATTCTAGCTACTCTTTAGAAAGTGTCCAAAAATAATGAACACATAGAATCATGTAATGCAGTCTAGCTAAAAGCAAAGAAAGAATTAGACAGTTTATAGAACACTCACCCCTCAGCTTCCGCAATTTCATGTGGGTTGATTTTCCAACTTATATTTTCCAACAAGATGAAATCCCTCTTCTACTTGCCAGACTCTAAGTCCCAAAGATGCAGACGTACGCAGAATGGATGGACCGTCCTCACCAACATTGGAGTGTGCTCAATTTCCTGCAGTTTCATTATCATCATGCCAAATATCCCAGCCTCTAAGCTTGTTTATGACGAATGGCAATGAATAACTTCCAATTTTCTTTATAGCTTTGTTTTGTTCTTTTCCTTTAAGTTTATATGAATTCAAATAACTAGATAGGACGAAGCATGTTACCAGAAAAGTTTTGTTCAATGAGCTTTGATACCACATCTCTTCAATTATTCATATTTCACTCAAATGGAATAAGATCTGGAAAATATAAATTAAAAGACATAACTGGAAAAAAAACAGACAGGGGAATTTCCCTTGAAATGGATCACAGACTAAAACTTGCTAAAACTTTGTCACAGAAACATATTCTAGTAACGGGATGGAAAATCCTCTGGTCTGTTCCATCTCAAATGGTCACACTAGAAGGAAAGGTGCATGTATTCCACAGAGCTCACTGCTGAGGAAGCTCATTTAACTTTATAACAATATTCATCTGACGTTATCAGTAGGAAGCAACATATTGGTCTTTAGATAAATAAAATACAATAATAAATAAAGAGCTAAACATTGCTCTTCAGATGTAGTTCTTTAAAGCAATGAATTTTAAAAATCTGAAATGGAAATACAAATATTGAAGTACCTACAAACTTAGAAAAAAAAAAATCAAGCTTTGAGATTTGCAAACAAAATGCTTGAAATGAATTATGAAATCCCAACATGTAGCTTTTCCCTGTGGATGTTTAGGCAGGAAAATTCCAAGTAAGGAAAGTCCATTTCTGTGATAACCATCAAATGTCTTTTGGTTTATCTTATTTATGACCGGATGCCTTGCCATTCAACACTGAGTATCATTCTGTTTAGGTTTCCACAGTGGTGAGCTGCCATGTTTGGGGAGATGCAGCCCATAATAGCTTATGGAGCAATAAAGGGGCATCTTACGGAGAAGTTCCTCATCCCTTGGCTGTGGTACTGGTGCCTGCACAGCATCTGCCTCCTCCTTAGTCTTGTGACCACACTGAAATTGCTTTGCTTTGTTTCCATGCCATACTGGAAAAGCTCTCAATCATTTCTCCTGCCATGTCTATAGGAAAACAGAAGCAGGCCAATCATGCCCTTATGACATTGCATGACAGGCAAGGTCCATTTTACAAAGCAGTACTGTAAAGTGAAAAGCTTTGAACCCTCTTCCGCCCCTTACTCTTACTCTTAAAGCCAAACTAAATTAAACCTGCAGCATCTCTGCATTTTACCCACTTTTATCAATATTATGGAAAATAGGCTTGAACACCAAATATGACCAAAGATGAAAGAAAGCTATCATTTATTGAGGGGAAAAGAAAAACTGTTTAAGTTAACAGTGATGGGCAAATCAAAGGAGGATTTATTTAGCTATAGAATAATTAACCAAAATGTCTTATTAAATATCTGAAATAAAAACACCAAAGGCCAGCCAAGTGCAGTGACCCACGCCTGTAATCTCAGCACTTTGGGAGACTGAGGCGGGCCGGATCACCTGAGGTCAGGAGTTTGAGACCATCCTGGCCAACATGGTGAAACCCCGTCTCTACTAAAAATACGAAAATTAGTTGAGCGTGGTGGCGGGCACCTGTAATCCCAGCTACTCTACTCGGGAGGCTGAGGCAGGAGAATCGCTTGAACCTGGGAGGCAGAAGTTGCAGTGAGCCGAGGTCGTGCCACTGCACTCCAGCCTGGGCAAAAAGAGTGGGACTCCATCTCAAAAACAAACACACAAAAAAACAGACACTGAGGGCATAGATACAAACTAACCAAGAAAATTATAAAAAGAGTAGAAATGTTCTCGTATTTCAGTTTAGCAGCAGGGTCACATTCCCTTGTTAAAGAAGCATTTGCACTTTCTGGGCTTGTGAATTAAGTGTGGAGAGGCCAGGATCTGCAGCTGAACATTTTTGGATTGGGCAGGCAATGGGAAAAATAAAGATTTCCCTCAAGCTCAACAATTTCTGTCCTCTGAATAGGGCAAATGTGTCTGAACACATTCAAAAGGTCCCTTTGCCTTAAAACGTGAGAAAGTCACATTGTAATAGCTAGAGAGAGGAATCTGGAGCATATTCACACATGGAATAACATCATTTGTTGACGTCAAGTTGTGTCTAAGAGCCTACTACTTAGAATACTTGGAAGAGAACAGTAGAAAGGTAAAGATTATCCAATGGAAAGGATGTTCCTCAAACTATTTATGTATTCATTTCTCTTCTTGGGGAAGGAAAAATCAATAATTTATTACAAATGCAGCGTTCTCAGAGAGGTTTCCCCAGTTTTCTGAAGAAACAGAAATTTTCCAAAGCACTGTAGTTTATTTAAATTCTATTAAATGTCTGATAAAATCATAATATAAATATAAATAATATGCATGTGCAATAATGTCTATATAATGTTTCAATAAAAAAGATTTGTGAGTATTTTCAAAGAAGTCAGGATGGTAACTTAAATTTTGAATATTGTATGTGGGAAGATATAACCAAGTGGACATACACTTTAATTAGCTAATAAAGTCTGTGAAAAAATTACTAGTTGATAAAATGGAGATTTGTTTTTATTGAACTTATAATAGTCAATATATAAACAGTGTAAATTGTGCAATAATACAAACGCCTCTATTTTATATTTTCTTAAATTTTCACAACTGTACTGACACATGATAAAAAAAAAAACAAACTATGCTTTTCATTTTACCAATAAAGAAACTGAATATCCAAAAGAACAAAGTAACTTATTTAGAGTAACAGAGGTCATAAATCACCAAATCAAGAGGAACATTTGGGACTTTAGGTTCTGTTTAGAAGCTCTGCTAAATTATACTTTTGATGTTGCTTCCCTACGTTAAATTTAAAAGATGTTTTGATCAACTTAAGACAATAGTTTGTATGTATATATCTAAGTATTTATATATTCATATATGAAAATTTACATATATTTATATACATAAATATATACATAAAGTTTGTATGTATATAAGTATTTTTATATATAACTGTAGGTTTATAGGTAATGTATTCTTTACATAGAACTATCGATTTACATATAATTTATATTACATATATATAAATCCTAATGGAGTAAGTCACGTGTTGTTTTCTATTGGTCATATGCTAGCACAAGAATAAAACTCTACAAGGGAAAAACAGGAACACAAACTGAACCTTTAAATATAAAGAAACTTCATTACGCAGATTTTTTGGCGTTCCTGAGATGTCTGCAGTGTTAATACCCTCCAGGTCAGGTGTATTTAATGGCCATTTGGATCAAGGGCCCTTGGTCTTGCCTGAGGCCCTCAGTTCTTCACCCAGACGTTAACTGACAGACACTGAGCAGCTCAGAAAACCCTCTTACATGATAGAAGTGCTCAGTCAATAGAAGCTTCTCTACTAATAGGCATACAGCACATTAGTGAGATATCCACCTATAGTTTTAATGACCTGAATCCAACCTTCTCACACTGTAAACCTATTTGAACTCTGAAAATAAACATGGGGTCAGATTTTGTTGCATGTATCAACATCAAACTTTAATTTAGCAAAATCGTATTGAATAACTACTTAGTTCTCTATATAAGGCTATATGAGGACCCACAGAATGAGAATGCTTATATTTTGTTGTTCTGTAGAATGTATATCTTACCTTCTGTTATTTTCTCCAAAAACACTTATATCTTGGATTAAAAAAAGAAGGGACATAAAGTGTAACTAGTATTTCTAAAGTAGCTTTTTTTTTTTTTTTTTTTTTTTTTGAGACGGAGTCTCGCTCTGTCTCCCGGGCTGGAGTTGCAGTGGCCGGATCTCAGCTCACTGCAAGCTCCGCCTCCCGGGTTCACGCCATTCTCCTGCCTCAGCCTCCCGAGTAGCTGGGACTATAGGCGCCGCCACCTCGCCCGGCTAGTTTTTTGTATTTTTTAGTAGAGACGGGGTTTCACCATGTTCACCAGGTTGGTCTCGATCTCCTGACCTCGTGATCCACCCGTCTCGGCCTCCCAAAGTGCTGGGATTACAGGCTTGAGCCACCGCGCCCGGCCTCTAAAGTAGCTTTTAACTCTATTTGTTTATATCAATTTCATCATCCCACCTTAGTGTATAACCATCTTAATATCATACTGTAAGAGTCTCTCCGGGGCCTGAAAGCTTAAGGAGATGAATAACTCCTCCCTTCTCAGGTCCAGTTCCAGGGCGCAACTTGCGCCAGCAGCGTGTGCCAGCAAAATAGCAGTAGCAAGAAGAAAGCCAGCAGAAGACACCTACCCTGGCCGGAAGACAGGTACCCTAAAGATCGAAGAAGGGGCCATCCGGGTACAACGTAGCAGTTACGTCAGACTAAGACACTTCCTGTTTATAGGAGACTATAAAACCTTTGCCCTGTTCTCAGTAGGAGCTGACGCCATTTTAGGCCTCAGCCTGCTTGCACCCAGGCGTTTGCTAAAACAGCATGTTGCTGCACACTGCCTCATGTTGTCTGTTGGCGCGCTCTCGGGCTTGGAACCAACATAAGAACCTTACACATATCATACTGCACCAAATAAAAATAGTCTAAAATAACAACCAGCCAATATAGGCACAAACCTGAAAGTGTCTTCATAGAAATAACACTTTGATGTACTTGATAATCTAAAGTGTAGATATTTTATGTGGAATAAAGTTTGAAGAGAGGTATACCAATTGAATGTCAGTCTGTTCTTTGTGAGAAAACAATTATCTCTTCGAAGAGTCAGGAAGGCTTTACTAACAAAATAATATACCAAGGACTGTGTGAATAGTGAAATTCAGAATACTTGAGACCATGGCCCTGGGAATAAATTGAAATGTGTGCAATTTTGAGCAGATTTGAGAACGGTGTCCGCATTTCTTTTATATCCCTCACATGACCGGATGCACCAGCTGTACCATTTCTGTCACTGGTTTACTCATCTCCCTTTATACTGTCTCTTGCTTCATGCTTTGCAGTGCCTGAGGCTGAAGCTCGTGACTGATCATGCGCCTCTATTCCCTAGGAGTTTTACCAATGAATGTCACCTCTCCTGTTTTAAAGATGAGCAAGTAAAATCAACCAACATAACACCTGAAGATAACAGATTCTCTAAAATGAATATTTTAAAACAAGAGAAGTGACGTGAAGATGGAATGAGGCACGGATGCAGGCACTGTGCTCTGATCCTGTATTTTTATGTATGGAGCAAAGCTACACTGGTTGCTCAACCTAATTTCAAGGTAATGTTGCTTGCAGCATGCTGAATTCAGCAAAACCAAATAAATAGAAACTTTTTCCTGACCCATAGGGAAAGAAATGACACCATTAATATATTCTCAGTGTTAATTATTTTCCACATATATTTACCTTTACTTCCTTGGTATCTATTACCACTTATCCTCCAGGAAACATTGGTGTTAGTAAAATTCACAGAGCTCATATAAAAATAACAATAGTAAACCCTCATAACATTAATTCTAACTTTTTTTGAGAACTTTCTCTTTTCCATGCTGTACATGCATTAGCTCATCTAGAACACTCATCATCATTGAACATATACAGAAAGTATAAATACATTTATCTTTATTATATCAATGAGAAAAACTGAAGTTTAATGACTACAGTAGTTAAGGCAACACTAGCTGCTAGAACAGATAAGCCCTGAAATCTTAGGAGCTAAAATATGCATTTATTTCTTTTTCTTACACATAACAGTTTGATGAGAGTGCTGAGTGGATGGTCTGCCATGTAAGGATTGAAGACTCAAGCTCTTTATTGTCGTAGCTCCACTATCTTCAGCACTTGGCTTCCAAGGTCACTGTGGAAGAAGAAGAAAGAGGAAAGCAGGCACACTTACTTCTTAATCATTGAGAACCAAGAAATAACACACTTTATTCCTGCCCACCTTCGGTTAGTGAGAGCTGGTCACATAGCTCCATAGAGATGCAAAGATGATTAGGAAATTGAATCCATGACGGGGAAGCCTGTGCTTAGCAACATCTCCACACAATGGATGATGCTACAAATTTTGATGAACAGTTGGCCATTTCTGCCAGAGAGAGAATGAGCTACTTTCCTAAGAGCCCCCTTTAGTAAGTAGTAAAATTGGAATTTGAACTCACCTCTGAATCCAGATTTGAGCTCTTACTCACAGTGCCATACTTCTGAAAAGATGGCTCATGGTTCATGGGCTCCTCTACTGCCCTGCACATAAGCCTTTGTGATTGTGACTGTGTATAGTACAGTGAAATTACAAACAATGTATATTTCATGGCATTCTACAAAAAGCCTCATTACTTTCTAAAATTCTGATACCCAGAAGTTCTGGAGAACTTATGAGATGGTGGGTAGTTGTATTAGTCAGGGTTCTCTAGAGGGACAGAACTAATAGAATAGAATACATATATATATATAGGGAATTTATTAAGTATTAACTCACATGATCACAAGGTCCCACAGTAGGCCATCTGCAGGCTGAGGGACAAGAAGAGCCAGTCCAAGTTCCAAAACTGAAGAATTTGTCCAGTGTTTGAGGGCAGGAAGCATCCAGCATGGGAGAAAGATGTAGGCTGGGAGGCTTGTCCAGTCTCTCTTTTCACATTTTTCTGCCTGCTTATATTCTAGCCATGCTAGCAGCTGATTAGATTTTACCCACCCAAATTAAGTGTGGGTCTGCCTTTCCCAACCCATTGACTCAAATGTTAATCTCCTTTGCGATACCCTCACAGACACACCCAGGATCAATACTTTTTATATTTCAATCCAATCAAGTTGACACTTAGTATTAACCATCAGAGTAGTTATGTGCTAGGATTTGAATGGAGTCACAAAAAGACATAATTTTCGATATTCAAAGGCTACAATTTTCAGTACCTATGGCGTTTTAGTAGAGAAAAGAATCTAAATGTACAACTTGCCAAGTCAAATATTATTTAATTTTACTTTATCTTTTTGTTAGATCAGTCTCATTTGATAGAGTCATGAGTGGCCTGAAACAGAACTGTTTATCTTACTACAAGCTTTTCAAATATAAAATTTCACAGAGGCAAGCTCTTTATAGATTTTAATATCGGAGATAACTGCCCTCTATGAATACATTTCTATTGGTCATGTCTAAGCTCACCAGAGCCAAAAAAAAAATAGATGCACAAAAGAAAAATCACTGGCCTTCTACTGTCCAACAGCAATGGAGAACTGTAGAGGTTCTAAAAAGATAGTAAATGTACAAAAATGAGAAAGATAATAGTAATCCCTTTCCCTTATGTTCTGTATACAAAATACCCTGACAGAATTTTTCTACGTATGTCGCTAAGTAAACTGAACCCCTCTAAAACTGTAAACCAAATAAAATTGTTATTTAGCTCTTAATGCAACAAATTCAATTATATATTTATTCATTCAACAATATATGGGATAGGATGACAGATAGGATGAGCTGACTGACAGCCTCTAAGAGCAGTGTTTTGCTATTTCCAGGCTCTCTTACATGAGAATGTAATTATAAATTTCTAAATCAAATGCATGAATAATCTACACTTATTTTTAATTCACTTGGAAAGGTCAAATGTAAAATCTATAAATAACTCCTCATACTGTTTTCCTAAAATGTGAAAAATGGAGAGAAACACAAAATTATAGGTAGAAAATTAGCCCTTTTGACAACTAACATAGCACAGTTATCTATTATACTCAGAAAATATTTACTGACTACTGCCTAGGTGCCGTACATTGTGTTAGGGTTAAAAATTTTGAATAATATGTCATTTTTCTCTTTAAGGTGCTTATAATGCAGTTGGGGAAAATATATGCGTTGATACTTCAGAAAACAAATTATACAAATAACATCCGCTAATACAACTTTTCTTAGAGTTCACCAGTGGCCAAATTTGGGAAAGAATTGTATATTTCTGTCATCTTTCTAGAGGTCTGAAAGTGAATAATTAAATTTAATCTGCTGAAAAATAGACAATAATCAAAATATTAGGAATTAAGTTGAGGTTCTTTACTGTACTGAGTTACAGCACGTGATTGATTATGGTCCCATCATTCCTACAAGTTCCCATCATTCCTAAGATATGCGATTTCAAAAGGAGCCACACAAACATGAGAGAGTAACAAATCAGAAGTTTAATTACCACGTTATTATAATTATTCAACTGTCCATAACTCCTAATTAAACCCTAAAATAAATCTGGATTGAAGTGATTAATTTAGAGGAAAGGAAATGCCCTTCTTTGGCCTTAAGTTTAAGTTCTCATTTCCCCCCTAACAAGCTGCTGAGCCCAAATTAATGAGAAATCCAATATATGAACGCAGTGGTGTGAAGTCAAGGTAGCTCATCATGCTGCAAAAGTGGCCAACTCTATTTGTTCTTTTTATAATGTAAGTAAGAGATTGAAAGGGACAGAGAGTGGGGCTGTCATGTCAACTTATGACATCGAAGCAAGAAACAAAAACGAGAGAGCTTCATTCACGTATAATACTTTGTGACAATTTAACCACCAACTATAAATTGGGCCTCATTTGTGTCTTTAAATCTGGCCAAAGTAGCAATTCCTAGGTGTGGTGGATAAGCAGAAGCAATGTGACGAGGGTGAAAAATGGTTCCATAGAGAAGAAAGAACTTTCCAAAATTCTGTTATCCTCCTCATTTTCGAAAGTGATGCCAAGTTTCCACAGTCAGTCATTTGCTTGTTTAAAAAAATTTTCACCATGATATGGTGACATTATAAAACTGTCTAAAGAAAAGTCCAGATATATTGAACTCAATTAAAATAGCAACTCCTCTTTGAGAGGGTGAAGGGAATGCAGTGAGGTGAGGAGAGTGAGTGAAGTAGGTGATTTTCAAACCACCACATGTAATAGCATGTGATTCTCATGATATATGTTAAATCTTTGTCTATTATAACAAATTTAGTAAACTACTTATAACTACTACAAGTAGTTAATAGATACTGCTAATTTGGGAGAAATGAGTAAGGATATCCAAAACCTAATACATTGTTCATCAATACATTCTGAAAGAAGTCTGGCAATAATGAAAATATTATTATAATATATGAACCATGCTCAAGTGCTAACTAGCACCATTGCTTTCAAAGACAACCATGAAATTATGACACTTCACATAACTTATAAACAATTTCTTATGGGTTAATTTTGCTTTGTTTCTTTCCAGATATATTTTTTACATTTCCTTCTCTATTATCTTATACAGTACTTCCAATTTTGTACACCTGTTGCTGCCTGTGAGGCACAATATAGGTAGTAATAAAAATAATTTCAAAGAGCAAGAGCACATTTTCATTCAGAAGATCAAACAATTCATCAGTACCCCTCCTTTCTGAATACTTAACATCCCTCTTACCTCAGGAATTTATCCTATGAAGGATATGAGGATAAGGCTATTTAAGTTTTTTTAATGCATTGAGTTGTTTTTCTCCCACTCTAAACCTCCAAGGCCCTGTCATGACTGGACACATCCAGGACACTGGGGTGACTCACAGCCTGTCTCTGAACTGGCCGGAGTGGCAGCACAGGGTGCAGCTTCAACATGGAGCCTCTTTCCATGCCTCAGGTCTTTGCTCACTTGTCAATATCATCAATAGCATATCCCTAAATGTTACTTATTGCTTAACGAAAAAACAGATTGCTCTACCTGGCATCTAATAGTTGTTAATATCCTAATGGCATTAACGTATGCAATATTGAGCTGAATTGTAAAGCTGACAAAAGCCTATGTGTGTGGAAATGTAATTACAGTGTGAGTTTAATGATAAACCACAACAGTTTCTTTTTGCTTTAATAAACTGTCAGGGAGGGGGCGGAGCAAGATGGCCGAATAGGAACAGTTCCAGTCTCCAACTCCCAGCGCGAGCGACACAGAAGACTGGTGATTTCTGCATTTTCAACTGAGGTACTGGGTTCATCTCACTGGGGAGTGCCGGACGATCGGTGCTGGTCAGCTGCTGCAGCCCGACCAGCAAGAGCTGAAGCAGGGCGAGGCATTGCCTCACCTGGGAAGTGCAAGGGGGAAGGGAATCCCTTTTCCTAGCCAGGGGAACTGAGACACACAACACCTGGAAAATCGGGTAACTCCCACCCCAATACTGCGCTTTAAGCAAACAGGCACACCAGGAGATCATATCCCACACCTGGCCGGGAGGGTCCCACACCCACGGAGCCTCCCTCATTGCTAGCACAGCAGTCTGTGATCTACTGGCAAGGCAGCAGCGAGGCTGGGGGAGGGGCGCCCGCCATTGCTGAGGCTTAAGTAGGTAAACAAAGCCCCTGGGAAGCTCGAACTGGGTGGAGCGCACAGCAGCTCAAGGAAACCTGCCTATCTCTGTAGACTCCACCTCTGGGGACAGGGCACAGTAAACAATAACAAACGCACCCAAAACCTCTGCAGACGCAAACGACTCTGTCTGACAGCTTTGAAGAGAGCAGTGGATCTCCCAACATGGAGGTTGAGATCTGAGAAGGGACAGACTCCCTGCTCAAGTGGGTCCCTGACCCCTGAGTAGCCTAACTGGGAGACATCCCCCACTAGGGGCAGTCTGACACCCCACACATCACAGGGTGGAGTACACCCCTGAGAGGAAGCTTCTAAAGCAAGAATCAGACAGGTACACTCGCTGTTCAGAAATATTCTATCTTCTGCAGCCTCTGCTGCTGATACCCAGGCAAACAGGGTCTGGAGTGGACCTCAAGCAATCTCCAACAGACCTACAGCTGAGGGTGCTGACTGTTAGAAGGAAAACTATCAAACAGGAAGGACACCGACACCGAAACCCCATCAGTACATCACCATCATCAAAGACCAGAGGCAGATAAAACCACAAAGATGGGGAAAAAGCAGGGCAGAAAAGCTGGAAATTCAAAAAATAAGAGCGCATCTCCCCCGGCAAAGGAGCACAGCTCATCGCCAGCAATGGATCAAAGCTGGACGGAGAATGACTTTGACGAGATAAGAGAAGAAGGCTTCAGTCCATCAAATTTCTCAGAGCTAAAGGAGGAATTACGTACCCAGCGCAAAGAAACTAAAAATCTTGAAAAAAAAGTGGGAGAATTGATGGCTAGAGTAATTAATGCAGAGAAGGTCATAAACAAAATGAGAGAGATGAAAACCATGACACGAGAAATACGTGACAAATGCACAAGCTTCAGTAACCGACTCGATCAACTGGAAGAAAGAGTATCAGCGATTGAGGATCAAATGAATGAAATGAAGCGAGAAGAGAAACCAAAAGAAAAAAGAAGAAAAAGAAATGAACAAAGCCTGCAAGAAGTATGGGATTATGTAAAAAGACCAAATCTGCGTCTGATTGGGGTGCCTGAAAGTGAGGGGGAAAATGGAACCAAGTTGGAAAACACTC